TGTATATTCACAGATATTAGCGTTTGTTATATCAACATTATAGTTCAGCCAATCCGCAGAGAAATGTTATGCTGTTGTTCAATAGTAGCATGCCACGTTGATATTCTAGAAAGCTCCATCACGCCCTGACTGGATTGAAACCCTTAGGCTCCTTTAGGGCCTTTGGAGCCTCCGTCGTAGTTCTTAGAAGCCGTCCTAACACCTCCCCAGGGTAAGGTCTCTTCCTTGCGTCCACTTGTAGCCTGACGACTAATTTGCGACGGCGTTCCATTTTTTCGCTCTCTCGATCTAAGTTTTCTTTTCAATATCCTTGGGCGTCTGTATCGTCGATGCATCTGAGATTAACTTGAGTGCAAGATTTAGCTGATCATCTCGAGTGTGCACCATTCCTTTATCTTTAAGGATTTGGTTTGTGTGTCTGATACGTGTGCTACAAGTTCCTCGGACTCTGTAGAAAAAGGTTTCCCAATATTTATACGTTTTTCCCGGTTTCCATCGATTTTTTCCGAGGTAGGACTTAACGAACACTTTATCTCCAACGTTGAAACTTCGGATATTAAGATTTGGTCTATGCCCATCTACTATTTTGTTGGCAACATGGTGTTGAAAATAGTTCGAATACATCTTCCAAATATGGCTTCGACAGGGAGCTTTCCGTCTAGGATAGTTGGGTTCGGAATAGTTCTGTAGACCGTTGAAAATTTTGTGATTACCTGTCTAGTTGTCCCCTCGCCTTTCAGTAATACTCGTTTATAGGTGCCGACAAAACGTTCTGCTTGTCCATTCGAATGGGGATGATGGGCGGAGAACGTAGATGTGTTATTCCATTTGTGCAACAAAAATACTTGAATGATTCTGCAACGAATTGTGAGCCATTATCAGCCACTAAATTCTCTGGGACTTCAAAACAGATGAACAAAGTAGATAACCTGGGGGTTGTTTCTGAGGCTGTACAATTGGACATACTGTATATTTCTGTCTACTTCGTAAATGCATCCACAATAATTAGAAACATTTTACTTTGAATTGAACCGGCAAAATCTGCATGAAGTCTCTCCCAGGGTCTTGAAGGTGTGGGTCAATGCTGTTTCAGACCCATCAGGGAAAATGTGAGTGATGACTGCTCCAATACCATAGTTCAAGACATCTGAAGCAACCACTATTGATAGGGAAGGATCATAATGCGCCAGCAATAGATTGGAGGTTTGGAGTCGCTTGATTTTCTCGAAAGATGCTTGACAGTTTGCCGACCAATCCCATTTTGTATTCTTCTCTAGCAGTTGGTTTAATGGAGCACGCAGACGATGGAGATTAGGGAGGAAGGTACCATAATGCCTGACCAATCCCAAGAAAGATCGTAGGGTAGGGATTTTCCTAGGTCTAGGCATAGTTTTCACAGCTTTAATTTTCTTTGGATCTGGTCGTCTTCCATCTTTATATATTATGAAACCGAGATGCCGTATCTGCTACACATAAAAGTCACACTTTTCTGTGCTAAGGCGAAAACCATATCAGGCTATGCGTTCTAGGACTTGATCCAGTTTCCTCTGAAAGTTCACCTTATCTACCCCCATAATTATGATATCGTCTAAATAAGCCGCCGCTCCTGGACTACCTTGTAACATGGTATCGATAATTTGCTGGAAAATAGAGGGTGTCGTCTCCACTCCAAAAGGCAGTCGGTTATATCGGAACAGACTCTTGTGTGTGTTAATCGTTAAGAGATCTTTACTTTCATCAGATATAGGGATTTGTAAATATGCGTTTGATTAATACAATTTAGCAAAATATCGACCACCGTTCAGTTTGGCGAAGTGATCTTCCGGTAGGGATATAGGATACTGATGAAACTCTAGAAATTCATTTAGTCCGGTGGAGTAATGTGCACACAAGCGAACGCTTCCAGTAGACTTCTTGATCACCACTATTGTTACAGCCCAATCTGAGAAGTTTACAGGTTCAATAACACCCTTTTTTGAGGTCGTTCTAATTTATTTTCAACTACAGGAAGACGCCCAACTTCGAGCACAACAGGCAGGATTCCGTAAGGATAGATCGTGTACAGACCAAATCGCAACTCTACGGATCGTTGTAGAACAATCAATTGAATGGAATTCACCACTCTACATCAACTTCATTGACTACGAAAAAGCATTTGATAGAGTGGACAGAACAGCACTATGGAAACTTCTTCGACACTATGGCGTGCCTGAGAAGATAGTCAATATCATACAGAATTCATATGATGGATTAAACTGCAAAATTGTGCATGGAGGACAGGTCACAGACTCGTTTGAGGTAAAGACCGGTGTCAGGTGAGGTTGCTTACTCTCACCCTTTCTCTTTCTCTTGGTGATCGGCTGGATCATGAAAACTTCAACATTTGAAGAGAAGCAAGGGATACAGTGGACATCTAGGATGCAGCTGGACGATCTAGACTTCGCAGATGATCTGGCCCTCCTATCGCAACCGCAACAACAAATGAAGGAGAAGACGACCAGTATAGCAGCAGCCTCAGAAGCAGTCGGTTTCAATATACACAAAGGGAAAAGCAAGATTTTCCGATACAACACAGCATGCACTAATCCAATCACAATTGACGGAGACGATTTGTAAGATGTAAAAACCTTTACATATTTGGGCAGTATCAGTGATGAACACGGTGGATCTGATGCAGATGTGATGGCGCGGATCAGAGGAGGAAGAGCATCATATCTACAACTGAAGATCATCTGGAACTCAGAACAGTTGTCAACCAACACCAAGGTCAGGATTTTCAATGCAAATGTCAAGACAGTTCTACTATATGGGGCGGAAACCTGAAGAACTACGAAAGCCATCATCCAGAAGATATAAGTGTTTATTAACAGTTGTCTACGCAAATACTTCGGATTCGTTGGCCGGACACTATTAGCAACAACCTACTGTGGGAGCAAAAAAACAGATTCCAGTAGAGGGAGAAATGAAGAAGAAGCGCTGGAAGTGGATAGGACACATATTGAGGAAAGTACTCAACTGTGTCACAAGGTAAGCTCCCACTTGGAATCCTTAGGACTAAAGGAGAAGAGGAAGACCGAAGAACACATTACGCCGAGAAATGCAGAGAGACATGAGAAGAATGAACAAAAATTGAATAGAACTAGAAAGGAAGGCCCAGGACAGAGTAGGATGGCTAATGCTGACCGACGGCCTATGCTTCATTGGGAGTAACAGGCTTTAGCAAGTAAGTAAGTAACAGGAAGGGCAGCAAAACGCACAGGTCTCTTAGGTCGAAAAAAGGGAGTAGCTCCAGAGTTGATGTTTAGTAATGTCTTGGCTTTCGTACATTCTCCCAATTCTTCTGTAAACACATGGTGGTGTTTTTGTAGCACGGCATTTCTCTGAACCCACTCTAAAGGGTTATCATTTCTGATTCGGCTGCAGATGTTGTTAATCGATAGGTTGGAAGCAAGCTATGGTAGACCAAACCAGGACAATAATAACAGTCTATAGAGTCACTGGTTGCTTCTCTGAATCACATAGATGCAGGTCACCCAACTTGTATTCGCTTGATAACCACCACTAGTGGTCAGGTGGCATCCTACAAAATCATTTACAGTGACAGAAACGGGGTGGCTCATTATCCTCCTCTAGGTCTTGAGTTACAGTATTTCTTCATACACACTTCATCATTGTCTTTTTGAAACGTATTCTCAATGCTGTCTGTTTCATTATCATTGCTGCTACATTACTTTAACTTCTTTGTAATATTTTTTGAAATTTATCTCCTACCAATGTGGTCTGATAAACTGGAATAACGCACACAGATGCACCAGAGCGTACGTTGGTCATGACTGATCGAAATATATCAAGCCCATATTTACCATACACGACACAAAATAAGATAAGCAAGCATGCACAAAGTGGTTTGGATGGGCGTTTTATTTGGCGAAATTATCTGATGATTATTATTTGGTGTAGTCTTCGTTGATTCAGAGTAATAAATTACTATAATTTTTTATCAAGGAGATACATTCGTCATGCTATTTTTAGAAATGTTTTCGTGTTTTTCTTGTTTAGTAGCATTTGTACAACGATATTATTATGTATGGATCTCATATACAATAGAATACTTTTAACTTTTACTATAATGGGAGTTAATATTGTTTTTGTGTTTTACTTAATGGATTATTTCCCATAAATTAAATATGTATGTTTGGAGTCCATAAAAAGAAACTATATACAGCATCGTTTACAGCTTTTGTTGATTTTAGTCTAATCTGTCATTAGTGTTTGATTGAAAACAGTGATCCCGTTATTCTAGTAACTTATTATGCATCAGAGGCTTCAGCCCAAACGATGAAGAAGTACTCATCAATTACCTGACAGAATTTTATGACGTGTAAACCTTTCCTTATGGTTTTTAGATCCTCCTATCTTAAGATTCATCACGTAAATTAATAGTATATCACTAAATACCCGATGCTGTATTTGTATTTCTTCAAATATTTATTCTAAGTATTAAACATGAGGGATATTTTGTAGGGTGTGAAATATATATTTAACAAATTTAGTTGCTAAAGGCCTGATTTTAATCGCCATCTCATTTGAAAAAATAGAGTTCTTCAAGTGGTATGAACCATTGGATAATAAATTAATGATCTCAAATTAACGCGCTAACCGTGAAAATTGAGGGTTTTGTGTTCAATATCTGGTGGAGTCGTGTGAGTATACTTTTAAGAAATGCCAAACTACAACAAAGTCGCTGTTTAGTAGTTCTTGTATATGTGTTTTATCTAACTAGGAAAGCCGTAATGCAAACTACGAACCACTTTACAAACCTCATAAGTAAACTATATTGTTTTGCAAGTTGTTAGTGCCATTTTACAATATTAATTTTTATTGAGAGAGTTAGTTATTCAATGTTAATCCCCAGGCTTTTGTTTAAATTAAGTGTGACTTTTATAAAAAAAGATTTAATTGCTTTAATTCATAGGATTATAATAAATAGAAATAAACATTTTCTTGTCAGTTTGATTCCTCTAATGATGCACTTTTTGGTGGTAAACTTCAATTATCATTATATTTGTATTTGTGTGTAAGCATACTCTCATGTAATGGTACATTTCATAAACAATCGATGGAGTAAAAGGCATCATTTAAAGTGCATAAGTATTTATAACAATTATGTAATAGACGCGTAATATTGAATAATTTTAAGATAAATATATATACAGTAAAATATTATGAATTCGATCTCACTGTTTCATCATTAAAAGGAAGTCATTAAAATTAAGAGAAATGTATAAAGTAAACATGGAACTAAGTTGTTCGTTTTTTAATATATTCATTATTTTGCTTGTTTCTGTTGATTATACAAAATGTATGTCAAATGTAATAAGTGGCAAAATACTTATACCAGTATCATTTGGGGCTTATGCTTCATTGGATTATCCATTCATAGTATTGTGGGGGGAACATATTTATAGACCTTATAAAATACCATTTTATTATGGTAAGTATAACGATAAATATAATTACTACTATTATCCTAATTATAATTCGCAATCGGTGGTACCCACTGAATACAGTTCATCATTATCATCATATGAGAATTATGGAGATAATCATAATAATGAAATATTGGAAAGTGAACGACAGGCGGAAGATTTATATTATTATGACAGAAATACAAATGATAAAACTTCACCTACCAGTCAAAAAGATGATCGAAGTTATAAAAATGACGATTATCAGACATCCTTTTATGATAATATTAAATATACCCAGCCAGATTATAACGCAGTTAAGAAAAATAAATCAAATTCTATGTATAGTAAATACAATTACAAGATGCCTGAAGTTACAAATTCACATAACAGGAAACGCTTACACAAAGAATCGACATACAAGTATAAAACTAATGTACATAAACTAAAGAAATTCGGATATAATGATCAATACAAAGTATCAAAGACAGTTTATTCTAATGATAACCTTAGAAAATATCACAACAATAACAGAAAAGTAAGCTATCAATCAAGTAAATCTAATGATCACCATCATATCGATGATCACTATCATGTCGATGATCACCATCATATCGATAATCACCATCATATCGATAATCATCATTATATCGATGATCACCATCATATCATTGATCAACATCATATCGATAATGAACATCGTATGGACAATCTCCATAATATCGATAATCACCATCATATCATTGATCAACATCATATCGATAATGAACATCGTATGGATAATCCCCATTATATCGATGATCACCATCATATCATTGATCAACATCATGTCGATAGTGAACATCATATCGACAATGAACATCATATCGATAATCACTATCATATCGATGATCACATAATTAGGTCTTTAAACAAGAATAACGATAAGTTTGCAACAATGAAATTGAAATATTATGATCAACTTATTGATTATATGAGTAAACCGGATTATGATAATAAAAATTATAATAAATTTAATTATAGAAAATATCAAAATCCTAAACGTGTTTACAAGAAACCAATGATCAATGGTCGAGAAATGTTAAATGATGTTTATGAAAAAGGAAATTAAAGAATGGCGATAAAAAACTTCGAGAGGAATACAGTAATGATCGAAATGATAAACCAAAACCTGACAGTGAAAAGAATTATATTGATAGAAAAACCAATTATGATGAGGGGACAAATAGAAAAGCCCAAAAAACAAAATGGGTAAATCAGAAAAGAAGAGGGAAGACAATAAAAAAGAGGTTAATAAAGAAGTAAAACATCCAAGTGAAGATGATGTTAGTGTGATTAAAGTTGTCAATGAATACGCATAAACATAGAGTGATGAATATAATAATAATGTAATGATAATTTAATCCTAAATACAATAATTTAATGTAATAATAATATGGTTGCCTTTTTATAATTCTGTTATGAACTGTTGATCATTCATTCTGAAAATCAAAATGAACTTCAATGAATAAAAGTTGGTAAAATGATTAATCAGGTTTGCAATAAAACTTATTTCTCTTTCTTAAAAAAAAACTTTTGTACAGACTCATTGTACTTAAGGGTTTAATCTACTGATTACGATCATTTCTAACGTCCGATCAGTCGAGTTATGCAAAGAGACAAGAGACCAAACTTGCGTAGCAAACTTTATTGCCAATAGCTAAATAGTGTGCTTGTAGTTCATACAAATATTTAGGTGATCAAAATGTTATGGGAAAAAAAACAATCTTTTATAAGTGACAATGGTTAAGTGAATAATTTAACAATCATAGCTTGATCATATTTGGATCTTATTTACTGAGGAAAATCTTAAGTCATTATGTGGTTTGTACAACTTGATTTTGAATGTAATTCTTACAGAAATTGTAAATAGCTAATTTTGCAATACTTTTTATCCATAAACTTGTTTTATTGGAAGTTGGATTTCAGAGACGTTTGTGCCAAAATCTAGCTACCTGTTTACTTTTAGAAATTTAGAATTAAATAAATTCAACTCTTGCATAATATATGTTATTACTTCTGCTTTCAAATAGGCGGTTTAAGGCTTCATTATGAAATTATTGTTAGCAATTAGATATAACAGATTTTTCCGAACAATAAATTTAACGGTTTAAGAACAAAAAAAATTCTCTCAAAAATAAGTCATGATCAAAACAAAATACAAAAGAAATTTATATGAAAATGAACTTTTTTGACTAAACAAACAGTTTTTGAACTAATAGCCTCCCAAATTAGTGATTAGATGCTACAGTGAGCAGGTAACGTCAAGTTAGAAAATACAACTTTCCATTCTTACACTGGGTTAATTCAGTGATCTCGAAGAATTAAAGAAATAGAGGTAAATAGGAAAATAGATCTCGTAAAATATACAATCGGTATTTTAAAAACGAAATCAGTTCAATTTATCTGTCTCAGTATTAATAAACTAGTGGATTGCTCACTATGATATTAGATATAAGGGTAAATAATTTGGTAGATGTTGATACTATGGTTGGGTTATCATAATATTTCTAGGAGGGATTGCTATGTTTCCAGTTACCACTATATTAAATTGGTCATTACGCATAAGGTTATATTGACTTATTTAGCCTTCCAACACTAAAGTTATGTTTCAAATTATTTATATAACTGGTTGCAGATGTCTTTGAAAATAATTTTGTAATGAAAAATATCTTCAAAATTTATCAATTTTCGTGATTCGTTTTAGTCATGAATATTAATCACGCAAATAAAGAGCAAGAATTTAAGTATTTGGCTCAAAAAGACGTTTATGATTAAAATGGGTTTTGTGGAGATTGTAGAAAATTTATTAATTAAATTCGTTAGTCTGTGTAAGCTAGACCACCATTGAAAACTTGGAACTACTGAACGGCCGTCTCGTCCTAGTATGGGACTACTTGATAGTGCGCATCCACGATCCTGAATGCGGGACTCGAGCCCAGAACCTTCGGTCTCGTGCGCGAACGCCTAACATCCAGACCACTGAGACGGGATCCAACGGTGTTAATATCTAACTTCAATCGATCCATGATCTTGTCCAACCATTCATCTATTGTCTGAGGTAGATATCTGTCTCTACCCGGCACGGATTCGACTCATGAATTCAACTATTAAAATCACCACTAATCCCACAAAACCACCATTCCGACCATAATCATCATGTGCTCACTAATGACCGGCTTCAAGACAATTTCCTGGAGTTATATTTATAAGTCAAATAAGTACTATTGGGTATTTCATACAGTGTTTTTCGTATGGGATCGGAACCACTGAATTTACTACCATTAGATCTTTTAACAAACGAGCACATGTGCTATAAATGATTATCCACAGACTACTAACTAACTGTAGAGTTGAAATAAGTAATGGAACCACGGTAGATGATCGAGGTATATCAGTAATATATATGATTACTGAATTCTGCTCTTAGCATAGTGAGAAAAGGACACCTTAGTTATTGAGTGTTATGACCCGATGAGAATAATGAATGGTAACTTTTGGGATCCATTTATGGACCAATACTGTAGGTATGTTTTTATCATATCATCATTAGATAAATAAACTATTCATATTCATGTTCCTCTTATTTTGACCTATGAACTATTATTATACGATTTACCATTCTTGAGTTATGTCTGGCCTATCAATTACTGTCTCCCACATTCACAGCCACTTTTGGCTAAATCTTGTACAAATGTTTGCTCACTATTTTATGGTACGATGTAGTCTGTTTGGTTGGTATATAAACCCAGTATGTTTGAAATAAATGATTCATATCGCAGAGGCTTAGGCTGGTGTTCGCGACTTAACGGGTGGGGCTACGAGGAAACATGACGGATAAGGACTCTGGACTGCTCGTACGGGTCTTATGCGTCATTGGTCCGATTGATAATTCACTGTCCTCTAATTGGCGGTATCATTACGTTATGCATTAATAAGATACATAGCAAAAGTGATAACATTGAGATTTCCAACATTCCACTAATGATTATTTGAAAAATTTAGGGGACGATATGTGAATTTTGAGATACCAAGGTTATTCCATTCTTGCTTACTTAGAATGAACACTAAAAAAATCAAAATCTAACTAATCACTTTATTTCTTACCAACTAGAGCAACTAAAACCGATGTATTGTCATAATGAGATCAGTATAGATCCAGTGAGTGAGTGTAACGGAAAGTAATAATCCGTTACAAATAATTACAGTAATAAATATGTTTCATTTTTAGACGGTCGAAGTTTTACCAAAAAAACAACAACGTTTTGCGACAAATCTCAATAGATTTTTCAAAATAATCATTAAGAATTTGATGAACAACCAATTTGGAATAAGAAGAGTTGTGTTGTGACTTTAAACCCGGTTAAATATCGCGTGACTTATTCGCGAATCGGAATATGACTGTTGCAATTTAGCAGTGTGCCAAACCAACGACGTATCGACCGGTATGAGCAGCCTAGCGTCCTTATTGGTCCTTTTTCCTCCCAACCCTACCGGTTGAGTCCAGAACACCAATACTAGCTTCCACTGTGCAACCCATTTATTCCAAACATACCTGATTTATACAAGCTTAACAGGCCACATCACACCATAAAGTAGGAAGTAACGTTCGTACAAGACCAAGCCAAAAAGTGGCTGTGAACGTGGGAGACCATAATCAATAAACTGAGCATAATTTAAGAATAGTAAATCGTATAGTAATAGTCTATAGGCCAAAGTAAAGCTTGTAGTAAGAGGAGTATAGATACATATAATCTAGTTACTGAATTGTTATACAATAAGAATATACGTATAATATTTGTCCATAAATAGACCTCAGAAGTGACCTATAATTTAATCTTCACTTGGATATAACACCTTCCCTTTTTTGAAGATTAAAAGTTTAGATTCTGAATAAAAAATATACGCAGCTTTAAATTCGCTAACATTATCTTCCCTCACGAAATAGCTTTGGATCCTCATATGCCCAAGTTACAAATAATGTGATTTTATCTAAAAACATATTTCTCGCATTTGAATATAGGATCCATTAGAAGTGACTAAATGGTGAGGATGAGCGACATTTAATTTGAGGTCATCAGGTTTTGATTCTTCAGAAATATTTTCCTAAATTCATTAGAATCTCATTAGTGGATAATGGGTCACTAGGAAAATCAACACTTATCAAAACTGCATTAGACTTTTGAAAGTGAATAAAACATCCATGGGGCTCACAGTGATCATACAGAGCTTCGAGTTACTGAAGTTAGATTTAGTTCAGTATTTCATGGGGAATGGTTAAAATTGAAGATTGTTTTTTTTTGTTGTAAACTCACATCGATTGAAAAACCACTTCAAATGGAAGGACTGCAAAGTTCTTTGTTATTTTATGAATCGTCTATGAGGAGAGATCGTTTTCTACTGTTGATGAGTCTCAATCTAAACAAAACAGCTTTCAGTGAAATTTGTTTTTCTATGGCTTTCCACTGGACGTCAGGTATTGATGAAAACTATCTCTTTTAATTACTACCATTATATATCTCACCAATTAATCTACTTAGTGAATTATGCAGTCATTTATCCTTTGGTGGTATAGTTTTCCTTTTTTCTATTACTATTAACTTACAATGTTACTGTATTATCGCTTACACATACAATACAAAGTTACAAGCTTTTTCAACAGATACTATATTCTTATTATTGTACGGATCTGATTTTTATTATTAATTATAGGGGGCGCAATTCATGATTTTTAAATGATGCGTGATCACTCTGGGATATCAATAGTGAAGAAATACAAACCCTTACAGTTGATAATAAATATCTGACCTTTCAAAAAAGTTGGCGACTATAATGACTCAGTAGCCTAGTGGCTAACGTTCTGCAGTTTGTAGCAATGGTACAGAGCCAAAGTTTCAGTGAATAGATTAACACAGACGTTATTATATACAACTGGCAAACGCCGAATTAGATGAAACTGGTGTCCTAAACACTATTTAAAACATATTATCGGCGTTTTGTCTCTTAATATATTTTACTTATTTGTTAAACAGATAAGGGTTAGGGTCAGAAGATTAATTTCAAATTGTTGAAAACAGTAGTAACAAATACTGCTTTGTGAATCTAATTTCTATTATGTATGTAATTCTATAGGCAAAGCAAGAGCAGCATATTTACAACTGAGGAACATCTGGAACTCAAAGCAACTGTCAACCAACACCAAGGTCAGGATTTTCAATACAAATGTCAAGACAGTTCTACTGTGTGGGGCAGAAACCTGGAGAACTACGAAAGCCATCATCCAGAAAATACAGGTGTTTATTAACATTTGTCTACGCAAAATACTTCGGATCCGTTGGCCGGACACTATTAGCAACAACGTACTGTGGGAGAGAACAAACCAGATCCCAGCGGAGGAAGAAATCAGGAAGAAGCGCTGGAAGTGGATAGGACACACATTGAGGAATGCGCCCAACTGCGTCACAAGGCAAACCCTCACATGGAATCCTGAAGGCCAAAGGAAAAGAGGAAGACCAAAGAACACATTACGCCGAGAAATGGAAATAGACATGAGAAAAATGAACAAGGATTGGATGGAATTAGAAAAGAAGGCCCAGGACAGAGTGGGTTGGAGAATGCTGGTCAGCGGCCTATGCTCCATTGGGAGTAACAGGCGTAAGTAAGTAAGTAATGTAATTCTATAGCGGCTAGCAGTAGAATCAAGGACGTGTGATCAATTATGTTTGGGATTTATCAGCTGGATGAAACTCACAAAAGAGATTGGTCAGTTACGGTCCTGAATATCAATAACTGTAAAGTGTAAAACAAACAGTTTGAAATAATCCAAGTAAAAAGCATTTAAATGACAGTCTTAATGCACTCAGTATTACACTTTGCATTTTCAATACAAATGTGAACTTTGCAACAATATAAAGCGTTATTTGTAAATTACGCAAAATATTGAATTTTAACGAATGTACTTCATAAGTAGCTTTTATATATAAAGCCTCAAGCATATACAGTGTAAATGCCTTTGTTTAAGTAATCATAGCATTGCTGTTGTTCAGGATTGAAAAATGAATTTATTAGTATTTAGTATACTAATAACTTATATACTGGATAGCGTTTATAGCGCACACAATGGATATACTAATGGAATTGACACAACTACCAGTCATCATGGTGGAGGTGAAAGTCAGGAAAGTTCTGTAGATGTTTATGATAAATATTCCAATGGTAAAATATACAGTAATGAGTACACGAGCGATGATTCCAGCAAGTACACTGACGGTAAAATCTATGATAAATATGGTCATGAAAAGGGAGACGATAAACATGCTTACGGCAAAAACCATGGAAAAAGTTACGATAAATATGCTTATGACAAGTACGGGTATGGTAAATATGGATATGAAAAATATAGTTACGACAAATATAGTTATGGGAAATACGGATATGACAAGTATGGTTATGATAAATATGGTTATGAAAAGGCTTACGACAAGCATGGATATGACAAATATGGTAAGGATAAATATGGTTATGAGAAAGGTTACGACAAATATGTCTCTGATAAATATGGTTATGGGAAAAGCTACGACAAGTATGGCTCTGACAAAAATAGTTACGAGGTTTACGACAAGCATGGCTCTGATAAATACGGTTACGAGAAGGGTTACGACAAATATGGCTATGACAAGTATGGCTCCGACAAATATGGTTACGAGGTCTACGACAAGTATGGCTCTGACAAAAATAGTTACGAGAAGGTTTACGACAAGTATGGCTCTGACGAAAATAGTTATGAGAAGGGTTACGACAAATATGGCTATGATAAGTATGGCTCTGACAAATATGGTTACGAGAAGGTCTACGACAAGTATGCCTCTGACAAAAATAGTTATGAGAAGGGTTACGACAAATATGGCTATGATAAGTATGGCTCTGACAAATATGGTTACGAGAAGGTCTACGACAAGTATGCCTCTGACAAAAATAGTTATGAGAAGGGTTACGACAAGTACGGGTATGACAAGTATGGTTACGAGAAGGTTTACGACAAATATGGCTCCGACAAAAATAGTTATGAGAAGGGTTACGACAAATATGGTTACGAGAAGGTTTACGACAAGCATGGCTCTGATAAGTATGGTTACGAGAAGGGTTACGACAAATATGGTTATGACAAGTATGGCTCTGACAAATATGGTTACGAGAAGGGTTACGACAAATATGGCTCTGACAAAAATAATTATGAGAAGGGTTACGACAAATATGGCTCTGACAAATATGGTTACGAGAAGGTTCACGAAAAGCATGGTTCTGATAAATACAGTTACGAGAAGGGTTACGACAAATATGGCTATGACAAGTATGGCTCTGACAAATATGGTTACGAGAAGGTCTACGACAAATATGGCTCTGACAAATATGGTTACGAGAAGGTTTACGACAAGTATGGCTCTGATAAATATGGTTATGAGAAGGGTTACGACAAGTATGGCTCTGACAAATATGGTTACGAGAAGTATGGCCATGAGAAACATGGTAACGACAAATACGGTTACGACAAGTACGGGTATGACAAGTATGGTTATGGAAAAGATTATGAGAAATACGGTTACACCAAAGAATATGGTAAGCATTATAAGGATTACTATAAGAAATATGAAAAATACGATTATGGCAATAAATATGAATACAGTGATAGTAAAGATCACGATAAGCATGATCATGATGAACATGACCATCATGACGACCACGACCACCACCATCATCATCATGGGCATGACCACCATCATCATGGACATGATCACAAACATGGCAAAGGATACTAACTACAGTGGATAACTTCTTCCTAAGATATATAAAAGCTAAAATTAATAGTCGCAGTAAAGTGTCTTTCTCATTGCTTTTTCAACAGTCAGTTGGTGAATCATATAGACAGTGGAAAAAAGTCACTTCTAGTGTGATATTAAAAAAATTAGTTTTCATTCCCGCTAAAATAATAAAAATTACTAAAATTCCAACGATTGTAGACGTTAATTTTATTTGTTAAGCTATATTGTATTAAGCATATGAAGAGAAAAAATTTAACTAATGGATAAAAATTTATAAGATCACAGTGCTGACAGATGAAAAGTTGATATTACTGTTACACGAGTAGCATCGGAATGGTAATTACGTTTATTATAGAGGGATTATAGATAGATATCATACATGTAGTTTAATTTGGAAAGTTATGCGACTGGCATCTTTTTTATTTAGATTAACTTGTTGAGTGAATTTAAAATGTTTTTAAAATAAAATATATGCGCGTGTTTTAAACCAGAAACTTTTTGATAGATTTACAACGTAAATTACGTGTACTCAGATATTTGAGTATCCAATTATGATACTGAGGTCGGGAACTGATCTAACTTTGACGACTTTTGGGAACCTGGGATGCTACTTCACTCTGGTATTAGAACCCTCGCCAATGCCCATCCACGACCCCGCATCTTGGAATTGAACCCTAAACCTTCAGCCTCATAAGCTAACGCCTAAATCCTAGACATTTCAGCCGGCATTCAACAGTGTCAATGTCTAGCTTCAATCAACTCAGCGTACTGCACAACTCCTACCTGTTACCTGCAATGGATGGCTGTGAAAATTTTACATTTTCCCCATACTATACATTTCTTAGGTAATAGATTTTAGAGTTCGAGCCCTAGTAAGGTCGTGAGCACATACTGTTAGGGAGCTCCACACTAGGATGAAATCGGTTCCTGGTTTTCAACAGTCGTTTAGCTAATATCAGTTTGAGGTGTAAGAATGCGGATCGGGATATACATGATTTGACCCAAGATTTTACTGAATTGGTGGTGTAATTTCCACTCATAATCCTCATACATATAGTTTTATCATAGTACTGCCTTGTCAACTTAATGATATTTTTCAGTGGTAACGAATCTTTGGTATGTGGAAGAAGTTTTTCATCTAGTTAACCTAAAATCATTAGCAGACATCTTTCATAAAACGAATATTATGTGATAGTTATAATTGGTCAACCTTAATTTCATATATGTTATGTCTAGACTGTTATCACAATATTTTCAAGTAGGCTAACAAGTGGACAAAGCTAACTGGTTATGAATTGACATGTAGATTTTTGTTGAATACTACTTATGAATAGTCTGACAACCCACAGTTCTAAGATGTTTATAGAATATTTAGTATGTGGTTTGCGGTGCAGTCTAGAAAGCGCGTCCTGTCCCCTTTTGGATTCGTCAGCTAAATGTACCACCATCCCACTATTAATACTCACACTGAGATCGGAGTCCAGTACCTTTTACTTCTAATGAAAACGGATTATCCAGTTATTTAGAAAATATTTTACTGGTAACAATACATCTATTCTAAATAACTTATGACAAAATAGCTGTATCGAGACAATCCATGAATGTTCCGCATGTGGTAGTAAAGAATGATCAAAATTCAGTTATAATTATCAACCATGTGATAACTCAGAGGCTAACTAATAGTAATATGAGGTATTAGTAATGGTTTAGGTTTTTCCGCTACTAAAGTTCAGTAATTCCGACAAATCCTCAGGGAATCGTCTCGACGAAACGTGTCCTGGATCGGACTCCTGTATACAAACCAAATATACTAAGAAGTTGTGACTAAAGGTCCAGGATGCATACGAAGCAAAGGAGACCGACTAACTGCGTTCCTGAAAAACAACAACGGGAAATTACGAACCCGTACTAAAATACAGACGGTCTATAGTCATAAATGTTATCAAATGATGAACCAACAGGAACTAGGAAGCACTAGACAGAAATCTTATTCCAGTATGGAAGTAGTTAGCTGCTGGTAACCACGACTCCATGTACAGTCGAACTCAGAAGTACCTTATTCTTTGAACTACACCGGGATTCAGTTGTTCATATCTATAACTTCAGTCAACTTAAGATATAGCGAGGTAACCACTCAGTGACTTTGGTAATAGTTGAAATTTGACATATTACTTCATAATCTCCTTACGATCGGTTTAGCAGACAAATGACGACGGGCAGAGCTCAATTTCCTTTATTTAGTACTGAGGTCTGTCATGAGGTAGCTTTGGATCAGTTTTACTAAAAACTTTCCTGACAGCAGCCAATAAAAGTCTCTACAATACAGTGAAATTATATTATAATTTTTGACGTTTTTTAGGGAGCAAACTTCACGATATTGTATTTTCTGTTTGTTCGAAATATGAAGATCTCTATATTACCTCACCATAATACGATAAATCATCAAATATCATCGAGGATTTTGAGTTTCTAAAGAAAAGCTTATCACGAAGATGTATTCAAGTCATTCTAGGGGTTCGGAAAGTATTTCCCACTTTGTTTTTGTAAAAAATGACACTAAGGGGATGACATTTTGATGCATGTGTTTAGGTTTATTAGGTAAAATGTTCAGAAGTACAAACTATTTGATTGGATACAAGATCCTCAAGGAATTAATCCTTTCAATAGAGATGAAATAGAAACGAGAAGACATTACCTGGTCTATATCCATCACACATCGATTATAAAGATAAATCCCATTTATAAATACCAGAAAACATTTTATGGATCTTAAAATTAGTATATTAATAGGGTTGTATATTGTAATTACTACTACACAGATTATTGAAATATAAGATATCGGTGATTGTCGAACATAAGACTATAACATTGTCACCCACTTAGAAAATGAAGTTCACTTAGAAAGACAGCTTCATAGAATATTTCCGCTGCACAATACTGCTGAAAAGTTGTTTAGTTTATATACCCAATTAGTATTCGTTGTTAAAGTAGTGATGTCAATTATGTTAAATGGATACCCAATATATTGGAAAGTAATCGCCTCTAAAAGCATGCGCATCATAGCTGAAATTAAAACTAGAAGATAATAAACGGATATTATGAACTGAGAGACCAGTCCCTTGTTTCAATTGCTACACTTCGAGAACGTATGGTGAGTAGAAAAACTGCTAACAAGAAAGGAAGTATGAAAAGGATAGTCACTGATCACGGGTATTTATATCACTTAAATCACTGGAACTAGGTCGCATATGGTAATCAACCACTGATTTATACCATCTAGTATACCAACAACCTACGAACTCATATTACAAAATATCCCAGGATTTATAGTGTACTAATATTGGTTACAACGTTAAACATTCAAGTGAAAAATATATTTAAAACAAAATAGACACTTTTCATATAATTAATCCTTTTCAGACATCCTTACGAGATGAGCATCGATTTCTTCGACCGTTAATTTCCTAAAATTAGGGATAAAAATCCGCGTTAGTGACAAATATACAAGTTAACAATTCGTTCTAAGGAACCAAGCTACTTAATAAGCGATAGTAATTTAGAAATAAACTAGATAACCAAAAAGACACAAACCATAAAAACAAAGCACCAACACAATAAATAGAGCTTCTAATGGAAAGACACGTTTAATCGTCTGAGGGTTCGATGTAGATAGATAAATAAGCAGGAACCTCTCTAAGATTTCTTCGGTGGTCTCCTCCTCTTTCGATTTTTTCAGAGCATTTTTAATGTACCAACAAAGCGTTCAACTTGGTCATTGGATCGCGGATGAAATGGAGGTGTTCGGACATAACTGATTCCGTCCTGTCGACAAAATTCTGAGAAGATAGAGGAATTAAGCTGTGTTCCATCAATTCTGGAACCCCGAAACAAGCGAATAGTTGACGTACCTTTCTGAATGTATAGCTTGCAGTTAGATGTTCCATAAGAAAAATTTCTGGCCACTTGCTGTGTGCATCAACAACCAGAAGGTAAGTTTGTCCATGAAGTGGACCAGCAAAGTCCAAGTGTATATGCTGCCATGGTGACCGTATTGTTGGCCACGATTGTAGCTCTGCTTCCCACGGTGCTATTGTTGCTAATGCACATTTGATAGACGAACGGGATAGCTCCTTCAGTTGAGTGTCTAAATGCGACCAGTATACATAACTTCGTGCTAGTCCTTTCATGCGATTTATTCCAGAATGTCCTGCGTGCAACTGATCAAGTAATGCTGGTTGCAGCTTCTTTGAAATTATGACACGTTCGGCAAATAGCAGGCAGTCGTCAATGATTGAGAGTCTACGCTGGCAAAACTGTTAAAGCTCTGTGGAGCTGATCTTCGAGGGACACCCTTCTAGGTGGGACTTTCTAACTTCTTGTAGGACTGGGTCTAGAAGGGTTTCTTCTCTGGCTTCATCTGACGACCCTGGAATGTTTCGAATGGTATCTGCCACTATACCCAATATTTCTGGGTCTATTGCTGTGAAGGCAATGATTATATCCTCTGGTTCAGGGTGTTGAACTCAAATTAATCGAGAGAGTCGGTTTGACCGATAGTATTTGTCGAGTGATACTTGATACTGAAATTATAGCTCAGAAGCATTGTTGCTTAAAGCCGTAATCTATTGGCCGTATAGACAGGGATTCCTCTCTTCAAACCAAAGATTGCAATCAAAGGTTTGTGATCTGTCAGTAGAGTAAACCTACGGTCAAAGTGCATTTTATGGAATCTTTTAACAGAGATAATTATTGCAAGAGCATCCACTTCAATTTGACTGTAGTTATGTTAGGTTTGAAGCTTCCCGAGTTCACTTAATTTGCGGACGAGAACAAGGCTCGGTGACCAAAGACCAGTAATCTAGCTATTGATGTGTTCCAGCCCCGCTATCTAGAAGGAGAAGTCCAAGCTTGGTATGGAAAATATATTCTGCAAACAGCTAGAAGACGAGCGAGCCCACAAACACAATTTAAAACGTATATATACAAACATATATAATCGATAGTATCATGGGAGATTTTTAAACATTAATCAATGAGTTCATCAATTGACTGCTATTTAATTATTTAATCGATAAGTTAATCAATATGATAAAATTACAAATATGAGTTTTGGGGATATATCGCCCCCAACAAGTTACGCTAGGCTGGTGTGAGTGATCTAGCAGCATGAGCAATTGCCTTTCCTGATTTGTCCAGAAACACGTGAGATATCACTGCTTCAACTCCATGACTAGAGGCATTAGATGCAACAACATTTCTCAAGCTAGGATCGAAGTGTGTTAAAAGAAGCTTTGAGCTGAGCAGTAATTTGACTTTATCGAAAGACGCTTGACACTCTGATGACCACTGCCAAGGTAATTCATTTAGAGGACCTTTCACTCAATGCATTTCAGGTAATGATCTAATCTATATTCCGCTAACATGTGTCGTCTTCGAAGTATGATGGGATGAGTTTCAATGAATCCATCAACTCAGTAAGCACCGAAATAACCCATTAGTCTTTCTGAACCTTTGGACTCAAATCACTGATAAATATGGGTGTTGTTTTCACAGCTATTTGGATATCTTGCTAAGTTATCTCGTAGTTAAGAGTACCTTCAGGATCGACCAAGAAGCCTTTTAGTTTTTCTTGAAATATACTCATAGCCTTTTCATTGTTAAGATAAACTCCAAAGGGGTTTTCTTTTTATAACTTCTCTGAGTCCAATAAGTGGCAGGGAAATGCACGCTCGCATTGGAGCATGAATAAAGTCGTTCCTGTAACAACTATCGGGGGATAAGTCTACTTCCGGTTGCGTCCAAGCTATTGGATTTCATCACACTTCGTAGGTTGTTCAAAACCCATGAAAGATTGACTTGCGAGGAGCAGGCTGGGTTTCGTTTTGGTCGAGAATGTATTGATCATATCTTCACCCTCCGCAAAATGTTAGAACACCGTCGTACTTATCAAAGGCCAACAATCGTAGTGTTTCTCGACATCAGGGCTGCCTTCGATTCGTTGGATAGGACTGTTCTCTGGGATTGTCTATTGAAGAAAGGTGTGCCTGAGAAGTTTATTAACATCCTAAAAGCCCTATATACAAACACCGACTTCGGTGGCTTGGACATGTTCTACGAATGTCCTCCCAGAGAATTCCACGCCGTGCATTATTTGCCGACTCTGAGACTGGTTGGAAAAAGCGGAGAGGTGGTCAGTATATGACATAGTGTCGTGGTATGAAAGAAAGCTGCAAAGGATTGGCTTCTGTTGATCCTCCACGACTCCCTGGTTGGGGTCCGAGAGATGGTACGACACAGTGGCTAGAGATGTTATCGGATATGGCTCAGAATAGAAGCCAGTGGCGACCATGCTGTAACCTTATTTTACTTTCTTCATAAAAAGTGGTTGTGTCTTCCTTAACTGAAAGATTTCTTCTGATTGTACCTTTCCGTTCCCCCATTTTTACCATTATTATTATTACACCACCTTACATCAATCTCTTCGTTATTATTCTCTTTTTTTCCTTCCCCTTAAATTCTGATTGTTTTGTGTGGCGCATATATATTTGGCGCATTCTTGTACCAATATTTATGTGTTCAAATAAATGAATAAATAATAAAGTCTAAATGTGTACCTCATAACGAGTGGTGGTGTTGGACAGAGACTCTCCAACCATGGCTGATTTCCACATAGCTTATTACAGTCCATGCCCCCTGAATGCCCTGGTACGGCCGAGAGTGGGGAGAGTCCGCTCTCCCTCTCGAAATACTCTCACACGGCCACGCGTATACAGCCTCTGCCAGGGAAGTCCTACTCATTGCCTTCTCGTGGCGGGGGTGTTGTTTACGAAAATGAGAGGACGAAAAGCGAATGTCCGGCGCTTTAACCGGATTCCAAACCAATGGTGCACATGGGCTCCAGTATCCTGCGGGAACGAATGGCGTATGAACCAATCGTTGGTCACCGGCTACCATGGGACTGCATCTCCTTACGATGCTCCACTGCCTTGTGGGTTAGACCTTTAGGTCAAAGGCTCGGGGAGTGGCCCCCTAAGATAACCACCTGCTTCGGTTTGGGCACCCGGGCAGTATCACAGCCCACACACAAATGATGAACTCTTTATGTCTATGGAAATTACTTTTGTCGCTTTGAAAAACAATCAATTGATTCAAATTATTATCATTACAATTATTGTCATTATTAATACTAATATTATTATTACTACTATTATTGTCATTATTGTTATTATTATCATTATTATTATTATTTTCCACATTATTCACCCTCTTTTATACTTATACAGCGGCTCGTCTTTGGTGGAATTCCGACTGTATCTAAACGTTCTCGAGTCACTGTCCGGTTGAAAATTGTATGTTACCACCGAATACGAGGACTGAAGCAGATTTTCTGAAACCACGTGCACCATTCAAACTGGCTGCCTTCAACGTTCGCACATTTATGCAGGTCGGACAACAGATAGGGCTGGCTATGTCTTTGGAAAGTCTTAATATCGACGTGTGTTGTCTATCCGAGACCCGTATTCAAGACTCTGGCGAAGTACTACAAATTCGATCTCCATCTGTCGCTTCGAAAAGCTTGTTTTACGTGCGCTTATCCGGGGACCCTGTGGCATCTTCGTCTGGTCTTGCTGGCGTTGGTGTCGCACTAAGCGCTAGAGCTGAGGCAGCACTAGTCGATTGGATCCCCATTAACAGTCGGTTATGTGCTGTTAGATTAGAAAGTTCCATCAAAGTGAGAAGAAATCGGCGTGAGAAACGATGTCTTTTCGTCATCTCCGCCTATGCCCCGACAGATTGCAGCCCGGATGCAATCAAGGATGAGTTTTACCACCAGTTATCAGTTCTTCTCCAGAAAGTGCGTTCGACAGATATTGTAGTACTAGCCGGAGACTTGAATGCTCAGGTCGGGCGTCTAGGCACAGAAGAGAGTCGTTTAGGTGGCCGATGGGGACTCGTTGGTCGCAGGTCAGATAACGGGGACCGTCTACTGCAACTTTGCACAGACCACAACCTGTTTCTGGCTAGCACTAACTTTCGGCACAGTCATCGCCGATGTGCCACCTGGCGTCCTCCCTCTGCATCTCAAGCCTGGACTCAGATTGATCACATCGCGATCAGCTACCGCTGGCGTGGTTGTGTACAAGACTGCCGCTCCTTTTGGAGTACCTATCTGGACTCTGACCATGCCTTGGTCTGCGCC